AGATGGTAATAAAGGTTATAAGAGAAAGCCATGTCATCTAAATGGTTGGCACAACCATTTGCCTTCTTGATGATTATGTTTGTCTAGGATTGAGTTCAGAAGGGGTGATTGAAATCCTTGCAGCCAACAACCATGTGTGTTTCACGCACGCCATGAACTGTGGAACAAGACCTTAAAATGGGATTTGATCCTCCACCATTTCCACTTCCTCTCCTCCTCTACCAAGACACCTTTTTGGGCATGTCTCCTACAGGCTCTTTTAAGTCACTTTCATGGGTAGACAAGACAAGGATTGGGACAACACCTTGCCTACGAATATCTGAACCGTGTGGACCTAGGCTTTCTTAGGAGTTTAGAACTCCTCTCATAGTCTTCCTTCCAGATACCACTGCAGTTTTACCAAGATAGAATCACGCTTTTTACTTTCTTCATTTCCTATAATTCTACCATATTCTATCCATGTTTCTTTGTCTTTAATAGATGTGGTCTACTTGTACCAAAAAAAAAAAGATGTGGTCTACTTTTAAAATAATTCAAGATTTTGATAGGGTCAAAAGTAAGACTAAAGTATGATCTCTGAAATCTATATAGTTGACTCACAGCTGGAGTTTGAATTTTTCATGACCAAAGAAGAAGCAATTAGGTATTAAGAGAGGATCTTGGCTTTCACATTAGGCTTGATTCTTAAGTTATTGAATATTATTTGTTGAAGGGACTCTTACGTTTCAACTACTGAATCTCTTTGTTACTTGTGGAAACAGGGTATCATTAACATTGAATTGCTTGTTGAAATTTTCAAATAGTATTCCTACCAAGGAAAGAGAAAATACCCAAGTTTTTCACTTTGGATGGCTTAAAAAATGTCACTTCGGGCTAGAAGTACCCATTTTGAATATTTTCTTACACTAAAAGTACAAAAATATTATAAACTTTCATCATATAATTGATTCATTTGATTGGGGTCACATATTTTACTTTGTATATTTATTAATTTAATATTATATTATCATTGTTAATTTATAATTAGAGATGAATCTTATCATATTACGTTACAATAATTATATTGCAGATTCAAGCAATAAGTTAATAACATGATATAATGATAAACATGTTGGTCCTTAGTCGTAATTGATAATTATCGATATGTCTATTACCGTGGCTATTATAGCCATGCTTTTCCTTTTTTTTTTTTTATCTTTAAGTTGGTTAAAATTTAAAGTTATATAAATACACTTTTAAGTTAAAAACCCTAAACTTTCCCCTTGGTTGCTTTGAGAAAATACCCCTTTCTTCTCTTTGTTTAGTTATATTAAAGTAAAATAAGAGAATACTCCTTCCTCCCTTTAAACCAAACAAATTATTAAAATTATTTCATTCATGGTATAAGTTTCACTGAAATATTTCTATAACAATTTTTTTTTTCAAGAAGTTGCCTTATACTTAAAATTGACAAATGGAAAAAATCATATCAAATGAATTTGGCAGATATTGGTATGGTAATAATGGAAGATTTCATTGTCCAAAAAATTTGACAAGTAATCAATTACCAAATTGGTAATAAAGAACTTATTAAGAAAAATGGTAATAAAAATTTTCACCAAAAAATTTTTTGACCGAAAAATTATTAATAAATATTTATAATATTATATGATATTATAAATATATGATTTCAGCTAAAGCTAGCTCATTTGTGGAAACTAGAAGAATTACTTTAGATTCTCAATCAATTATTGACATCCAAATATACAGCAATTTCTGTCATGATGACCATTTCTCCAACACCAGAAAAGGTAAAAGAGGGAAGACATAAAGAGGTGGGAAACTCATAGAATGTCTGATATCTCCTCTCCTCGTCACTTTATAAAAACCTTATTTAGGTTCCCAATTCAACTAACTTCTACATTCCCCTTTTGTCCATCCTTCTAAATCTCTCCTCCTTTTATTCTACTACAGATAAAAACTACTTTCTTCTCTGTGGCTGCTTTCTTTCTTAAGAAATTGTTGCTGGTTCACTAACAATGGCTGCAGCGAAGGTACAGGACGAGCGTACTACAAGCAAGAAGGCTAGGCTCCCACCAAAAAGAGGCCAAATCAAAGTCAGGGTAGTTTCCAGCGCATTCAAGAAGGCAATGGGGGCAACAAAGGCGAAGGGTGAACTGACAGGCGAAGGCAGGAAGGCTAGGCTCCCTCCAAAAAGAGGTCAGGTTAAAGTCAGGATGATGTCCCTTATATCTGCTTCTGTTTCAAGACTAGCATCAAAAGTAGGAAATCTACTGAAAAGAAAGAAGAAGGTGGCATCAGAGGAAATGCAGCGTCAGCAACAACTGAAAAGGTGAAAACAGAGCAGGCATAAACAATTTCAGCTTAGCTTGAGAATGTACTAAATCAATGTATCTGATCTCTAGAAAATTTCCCATGTCTCATTTTCTCTGTTTTTCCTCGAGAACCTCTTTCTGTTATCATCATTGAACTCGAACCCGAAACTGATTTTATTATGCGGCAATTGTTCTAAATTTCAAAAAAAAAAAAAAAAAATTTGGGTAACTGGGGATGTTGTGAAGGTAGACCAAACTGGGTTTTGCAATTCTACTTCCAAATTCTTATCTCTT